TTGCCGGTCTCGAGATGAAAAATCGGTACAGACGAACACACAGACACACACACACACAGGCAACCTTTCGTCAATACGAGTTTTCTGCATTGCATAGCTGCAAAAAACGCATAAAAAAACAGCGAAAATTAGCTTGGTTGGCAGTCCACTACTTGAAACAACCGGGATTTATAAATCTGTCAGTTTCTTTCTTTTGGTTACTATCCGTCAAAATAAACGTAAGCACTGACCTATAATTGTTATAAGGGACAATTTGCTCTGAAATATTTCCTTTTTGCAGAGCGAATGTGTGTTAAAAATGGTTTTCTTGATGTTCACTGTTTTGCTGAGGCTCAGCAATTTGTTCGGAATATCATGGAAAATAGGTTTGTTTTAAATTTGCATTTTTTTTTGCTGCAGACTTTCCGCTGCTGGACGTGGCTCAGTGTCAAGTAACGCTGATCTCGTGCTCGAGAGTAATACATGAACTTTTGAAATGCTTTTGGGTTATTCACGGAATATCTGCTTAGTCCAATTTATTTTTTTTTTTAGGTATTTCAAGGAATTCAAGGATAGTATTTATTATTCGAAACATTGCTTGGACGTGATTAGCAGTGGAGCACTGACAATGCACGATATCATGCTCTGCCAGCCACTTCTTTGCGCATTCGTTGAGGTTGTTCATTTGTTATATTTTTAATACCAATGTTTTATGGATTCCTAATGTGAGATTTCCCATTTGCTAAGAATTTTGCAATGACTCAACGAATCTACGAATGACGTATTGTAGCTGCTAACATGCTAACACACCTTGGCGGATCTTAGGAGGGAGGAGGGGAAGGCAGCGGCATAGGTAACAGTGCTAAAACTGAAGAAAACTCTCTCCTTGATTCCGGTAGATCACCCGCCGGTCGTCGCCGTACCAGTAGGCCCTTTTCCCCTCCTCTCCCTCTCCCCATTATCGCCTCACTGGAAGACCCACTTCTGACCAGGCCCCATTCGTTGCCCTCCGCCATTCTCCTACCTCCTCCTTGGAGGCCGTCCTGGATCTGCCTGTGCTAACATGTCATCCCAAATGAACTAATGCAAGCGATGTTTTCGAGGTGAGAAGAGTTGGGCTGGGCATCTGATGAAGTTGAAAAGCAAATGATAGATCAAAGCAAATTGTTGAAACAGTATCAAATGAAAATCGTCAAAACTGTCATAATGGTGAAAGGATTTACCTGAATGCTGCTAATGGAATTCCGTGAAAAGGCGGGCCCGAAAGAAAGAGGGTATGGAGAAATTGTCGCCTACAGAATTGGTGACTAAAAAAGATTTTTTTTTTATTAAAACGACTGGAAATTTTTTGCTATTTGGGCAATTCCAGATCGCACAGAATTTTAGCGCGGTACCTTTCATATATTGCTGATAGCCCGAAGTTGCGACGGGTTATATTATTTCCTGATATTTGCCTGAAGTTTTCTGATATCCGTCCATCTTCTATTGCATCAGATGTGTACATAATGATATGCACGCTTGATAACACATCTGATGATGATGATATGACTATTTTAATAACTGATACCGATCATCCGTACTGTGACCGATCGAAAATTTGATATCATTTCCTTCCTGAGAGTTTTCCCGGCCTCTTTTGATGAAATCAACGCCCATACCCATCACTTCTTATCTAATGTCTATTGTTTTCTCGAACTCTGATCAAGAAATTACGTAAAATGTATTCGTCGGTTTCGCACATAACTTCTTCTAACTCATCTTTCGATGCTCAGCATATCATCTTATCAACCCGTTTTATCATTTTCTCTTTTTCATTTCACTGATTTTATCAGAGCGCATATCGCCATGTCTCCTTTTGTTTTCAGTATATGGAAAATGAAGGAGAAAGAAAACTAATTGAATTTATCATATCTGCGGAAAGTTTTGCTGAACAACTGCCACAGACGCAAAACGATGAACTGGCTGTTGAAGATGCGATGATTATCTACAATAGGTTGAGTTGCTTCCCCTACTCATCTCATATTTTCATTATATTCGAAGACCCTGAAGATGTGATACTTACATGCGTTATGCTATTATAGCATGACTGTAGCATACAAGTAATATGAAGAACTTAAATAGGGCAAGAATAGAACGAACTATGTAATGAAGAATGTAGAAATAGCTGGTGTAGGAAAAATAAGTACCAGAGTGTTAAGACGTTTAGTTGCACACGACAGTGTAATCCTCGGATGAGGTAGACAGGGGTTTGTTAGTATTTTAAATGAATGTGAATGTATTTGAAACGATAGGTTTGTTCTTCGAACGAAATATTTGTTTGTTTGTTTATTTATAATACTTGTCAGCCGTTTGAATAAAGTAAAACGAGAAAATAAATAGCATGATACGTGAAAAACATACTAGAAAACTAATGATTTAAACGTGTTTCATGATAATTCATGATTTTCTTGGAATTGTTTCATTTTTATATTTTGCTTTACTGAAGCATATCTCAAAACTTTTATCCCTAAATTCTGAACATATAGACAAAAATCTTTGTATTTTTATATATGCATTTCTAAAGCTGCGTTTGGTATTTATTTAATATTTATTTGCTAGGGCACTCATTAGATTTGATGTATATTTGGAAATAAAGTACTGAAACATATATAAATATATTATATGCAAAATTGAATCTTATGAGATCTGCATATTCAAATTTGACCACCAGAAAAGCGCGAGAGGCGGGGGGTTTACCAGCTAGTGGTTGTTATTGGCAAAGTGTTGTTACGTAGATCTGCATTTTATGCTAATTTGTACAGCGCTAGCAATGGGTATTGTGGACTTTTTTCCTATAAAGCTGCCTTGGATCCGGTTGATTCCTTATTCATTCGTTCTTTCTTTCATTGCTTTCTTGGTTTGTTTTGGTGAATGGTTCTCAAATTATGTGTTTTCAGAATTAGTTGACTTTTGAAAGGATTGAGGGGGATTTTGATTTTTCTTAAGCAAAATCTTTAACATTTTCAGTGCAATTTCTGTTTTTTTGTGGACTTTTTTTTTGAGTTTTTTTGATTGTTTTTCTTCTGCCTTTATTCAGAATTAGCAGTGAGTGAATGTGCGGAAAATGCTGGGAATTGTTATAAATTTTCGTGCACAAATCATGAACTTTTTAGATATTTTTCAATGCAAGCCACAGAACCGTTGAATTTCGGGGCTAAAACACGCATTCAAATAGAAAGTGATATTTGTACTGGAAATGGTAGGCCTGCAGCGGGTTGCTTCGAAGCGGCACGACTAATGGCACTGCATCTCCTGGAACAGGTGATTTCTTTGATAATTTTTATGATTTTTTTTTGGTTTACGATTTTTTTTGTGGGATTCTTGTTTTTAGTGAAGTACAGCTATACATCAAATCTAATGGGCCCCTGATTCTACTGTCCCGAGGCTACTTTAACTTCGTATTTACCTTGCTAGATTTGTTTCTTACACGAATCGTCGTGGGAAGGGGACGATTTTCTTCACAATGCTTTTATAGTTATCTTCTCTTGTTTAAGCTTTATCTTTAGTCTTTTTTAGCATCTAACAAGCTTTCACTCTTCATTTTTTGCAGAATTACTTGAAACGCTTCTCAGCATCACCGGAGTTTGTCAAATATTTGCAAAAATTGATGGCTCAGGTGGAAAGCAATGTTGAACTACCGAATCCGAACACCAGAAAACGAAATTTCGGTTCCAAATTTTTATTAATTTTTTAAAAATTTTTTCAAGGCAGCAAAGCTTTTGCTAACCAAATTGCAGTGATTGTATGCTGTAAAGTTTTTATTTTCGGGCCACTTCTTAAAAGGAGATATGGGGCGTGATTTTTCACGATAATACACATAGACAAATAAGCAATTCGTATTGGGGATCTGAAACAGCACATGCGTTCTTATGCATTTTTTTTTTGCATCTGTGTGATGCAAAAATGCATATCGTCGAGAAGTTGTCTGTGTGTGCGTCTTTACCGAGTTTGTCCTCTTCGTACTTTTCTTGGAACCATACTGCATTCGGAAATGAGTTACAGACAGGTGTGCACAGAGTTATAGTTTGTGTTTCCCCTTTTGCTCAGATATGACAAATGCATAAAAATGCGGCAAAATTAACTTTGAACTCTTCTTGAACTTTGAACTCTTCAGGCGAAATTTACTCCTAACTGGTGCTTTTTTTTAAAGTTAATAAAAATTGAAAAGCTTACAGATATTTTTTGTTATTTCATTGTCCTCACGAAAGATACGCGTGCAAATGCTGACAAAAATCGATAACATACTGCATATGATAGTAGCAATAGGCAGTACAGAGCAATTTGTATACGAATGACATACAGTACAGATTTGAGTGCACCAACTGCCATGTAGCGCACAAAGGCCAGTAGTGTAGTGGATAACATGTCACGAACCGAAGGATCTGAATAATGATGAGTGGTCGAATCCTCTCCCGCTCGGCACTCTTTTGCAAAAAAATGTTTCCGTCCGTAACAAGGCCAGGATTGTGCCTGTGAGTGATTGCTGACTACGTGCTATCGATGGAGTTACTTCCGAATGCATCTGGAGTGAGTTTTTATCTGTGTTGGATTAGAAATATTAGAAATATGGGGGATGCAGCCAATAACTTTCTCCTCATATTGTAGACTGTTTAGCAGTCTTCGTGCGAGATTTCTTTTTTCAGCCGGTAGTTCGGATCATTCATCCGATACAAGCTTTTCGTGGTCGATCTTTGAGAAGCCGGCATTTCGAAGTCCGGCACACTCCAAAGCATCAGTTTCGGTAGCGCTGCTACCGATGGGTAGCGAAGAAGATGAATCCGCTTCACAGCCAGACAGTCTCAGTTCATGTGGCACAAATACTCCACGAAGCGCTCGATCCAGAGCGTTAGTTTTTCATGTTTTCACATATGGGGGCAATCCGTCGCTGTTTGTCTTATTCAATTAACAAAATGCAAAAATTTTATTTCTTGCCTTTTTTCTTTTTTCCTCTTTATTTCATCCCTTATTATAACTTCCTTTTATTGCTTTTGCCGGTTTACTGGTCTGGTACATAAACTCGTTTAAATTGTCAGGGATGGACAGTTGGAGGTTGAAGTTGCACACCTACGTAAAAAATGAGATTAGCTTATGCTTAGAATGAGATTATTTTTGTACTGCTTCAAACCCTAGATCGATTACGAACATCTGGAAAAAAAACTCATGTCTACAGTTAGCTCTCTCCCCACCCAATGTTTAACGCTTTTTTTGCTTTGCGAATGTTTTAATCATCGAGCTTACCGGTTCTTTCTGATGTTTTTTTTTTTTATTATAGGAATGTTTCGCTGGCGACCGTGGATGACATGGGACGCTACCGGCCAATGTATGATAATAGTTATAGCGTCACAGAAAGTGCCGGAAACACTAGACGAAAGCTCAAAGACAAGCTCGACAAATATCTTCGTTTCTCCTCAAAAAAGGTGCGTTTGGCGAGAAATAATATTTAGAGTGTTATCAGAAAGGTAGGAATAGCAACGGCCAAGGAAGTAAAGATTAAATAGGTGAGGAGAGCGATAAAGGAAGGGCACTGATTAAATAACTAATTTATAGATAAAAACTATTATATAGCAAAAGAAAGCCGAAAAGTACCTGAAGAATAATGTTTTGGGTAAATTGATTTTTCGAATTTCACTAAATATGTGCCCAGAAAGATGGTTGAAAATTACATATTATGGGATACACGTAAGTTTGCAGCCCGTGTTTCATTCCTTAGCCGCAAACACAGACAGAGGATGCGATGCAGATTGGAGTGGGAATCATCAGTGCAGTTTCTAACTTATGTTATTTCCCTCATGTCCCTCATCATTTCCTCGCAAAAGATTACATTGTCGAATCGGTTTTTGATGAAACCCAGGCTGGAACGCACCAGGCGGGCCGGTGCGATTATGCGTTTTTGCACTTTTCG